AAGTCAAAAATGAATGTGATATCTGAGCTACACTGGTTCTTTCTGTTTCTAGACAGAAACTAAAATTTTCTGTAAACTTTGCTACCTGCTGGCTTATAGAAATATGACTACATACTCTGCTTTTATATTTATAAGATATGCTTGCATCTGTGTCTCTGCTTTCTCATTTTAGATAGCACAAATTCTGGGATTATAACTCTGAAAAGTTTTTGAGATGGATCTTCGTTTCCTTACTTTAAAAACTTCTTAATTAAACTTGCTACTATTTTAGTAAAGATTTAAATATTTTTCATATGTGTGTCCATACTAATAAAAAACTGACACACAGGTTCTATTCATGATGTAACAGTACTCCATTTTAATTCTATTTGTTTTTCTTCCATCTATTCTGAAGTTCTGTGGTTATATATCTGTGGTTAGATATATAGACATTCAAATTACTTTATTTTATTTTTATCTTTTGTATTCAGTGTCATTCTGAAATGTTTCTTTATTAAAGAACTGGTCACATGTGGTAGATATTATTATAGAAATATAATTCATTATAACAAAGGCACTGCCTAATCAATGAATTCATCCAGGGATAGATTTCTAATTTCATGGTGTTATTGGGAGTTTTTCAAACCGTTTGGATTTGGAGCCTAGTTGGTGGAAGTCAGTCACTGCATGGGGCACACCCTTGGACTGCAATGTATCTTTCCCAGCACTATTTCTCCCATTTCTTTTCATGATCGTCCATTTCCACTTAGCTTCCAAACAGTGGAGCCATCTCTGGTCCATGTATTGAAAACTCTGAATCCATAGTGCACTTGTTTTCTTAGAATCCTTTCAATTATTTATCACAAGAACAGAAGCAACAACAACCAACAAAGAGTAGACTCAAGAAAACATGACTGACAGTATGATTACAGCTTCATAATGATTTAGTATTATTATTATAAAATACCTTATGCCTCATTCCTCTGGAAAGCCTGATTACTTATCATGATACTATTGCCACCAGGCTTTCTTTGCTTACTGTTTTATGATATATCCTTTGGGTTTTAACCCAGTTGTATCTTTAGTGCTAATACAGTCTGGTTGCTTATTCCTCCTATACCTAAATCCCAACATTTCTGTGTTCTTTAACTCCATGATCTGGAGATTAATGAGCTCCATCCATTTTGAATAATATATACCCATCATGTCCTCAAAGTCTGTTTCATCTCCCTTTACTGTTCCTTTTCTACTTAGCAGCAATTACTCTTGTATACCTATCATATAATCCCCCATACCACTCATAGCAAGCAAAGACACTTACAATAGGAAGCCTTTCCTAAACCTTCACAGCTATGATTTCCTGTTGTTCTGTTCTGAAAATTACAGGACAGGGTCTGCACACGCATCTCTGTCTCTGTTTTATAGTAACAATAACATGTTTGGCAAAATCCTAGCTTGCTGTATTATTCATAGGGAGCATTGAATCTAAGAAGCTAGGGTGATCTTGAGATTTATATCTTGAGTACATTCTCTCATGATTAATTATTTTTTGTTAGTCTTCATTGAACTAAACATGGTTGTTTACTGTGTTGCAGAAATTTTATTGTTTCTTAACATCTTAAAACTTATCCTCCAGGGGGAGCCAAATCTTTAACCTGTGCATATAGCAAATCTGGCTCTCTGAGGCTCCAGTGACCATGAGGAAATTATACGCAAAATCTTACTAGGATATGTCTTAAAGGTTTTTCCTTATTTAACCGTACTTTATATTTTTACCTTGTTGAGAACATTCTCTTAGTTACAGGGAGATAGCATCGGAAAGATGACAATCTTCTCAAAGTCACAACTGGGAAGATATCTAGTTTCACAGAAATTCAAGGCCTCAGACTTTAGAAGAACTATATTATGTATAAATATATTTATTTTATTTATAAAATATATAAATATATATTTATATATATGTATAAATGGAAATGCATTATTGAATAAAGTCTTTCAGTCCAATGGAGGCTATAGTTTTATAGGTCTCATTGAAATGTTTCCTGCAATACAGCATAAGCAAGGTAAAATATGGAGAGCGTGTGCATTTGTGTCTGGCTGTTTCTTTTAGTTCAGAATATTTGCTCCTAGTCCTTTGGGGTTTTATTTATTTATTTACCTTGACTGAATTATACCTTGTTTTGTTTTTAAACTGCAAACTACTCTCTATGCTTACTTTATTGATATCCCATTCCAATGTTTATGTGTTTGTTTTTATTTATGCTTTGGTTAGTTTGGGATTTTTTTTTGTGGACATTGGATTTAAGGTTCTATAATTTAGGTTAAAGGTAATTATAAACAACTTTAAATAAAAATGTTTAATATGAGCAGATTGAAGCCTGCAAAAAAGAGCTAGCGTGACTCACTGCTTCCAAATAGCTAGCGATGGATGCTAATTTGAAGTCCTTTTAACTCACATTCTGTATTTCTCCCAGGTGTTCACTCTAAATGCAGTGCTACTTAAGTTTCTCTCCTGTATCAAATCTGTTAGTTGCTGACCATAACATAAAGTCCAGAGATAAGTTTCCAGCAACATATGATGGAGCCCTTGTGTATCCATTAACCTCATCTCTCACCCTCTGCTCTTGGTGCTTCAGGCATTCTGAGAAGGAAGTTAAATTGCCAATCATCTGTTTTCTCATAACTTTTTGACTTTGTTCATACTCCTTCTTAGTCTATAATTCCACCTTCAGCAACCTCCATCCATTTCTCTTTATATTACTCTTTGTCAGCTTTCATTTTTAAAACTGCCTTGACCCCATTTCTGCCCCCAAGCAGTATGTAGCTCTCCTTGGCCATTCTCAATTGTACTCAGAGGCATATATAACATAGTGAAGAAGGTATTTTTAATTTATGAATATATTTCTCTTACATCATATGATTCATATTTCCATATGAATCAACTCATATTATTTTATAATTCTCAATGGCTAGAAAATAATTTTGATTATTCATATGTCCCTAAAACCTTGGACAAACTCACAAATGAAGATCAAACATAGTCCAAATTCTAAGTCTACTGGAAGGAAATTAATAAATAAACAATAAATTTTATTTAATAGTCCATGATTTTCTTCTCAGGTATAAGGAGAAATATGAGAATATAGACATTATCAAACATAATGGCTCTTGATCTAGTTAGTTATATACTGCTGTGATAAACATACTCACTAAAAACAACTTGATTAGAGGAGGGTTGATTTCACCATACAATTGTAGTCCACCCTAACGGGAAGTCAGGACAGGAATTCAAAGCAAAAAATAAGATGTAGGGGCTGAAGCAGAAACCATGGAGAGGAATGGTGCTCAGTGGCTTGTGCCCTCTGGTTTGCATGGATTGCTTTTTCATATCATCCAGTATTACCTTCCCAGGGGTGCCCTGACTCACAGTGAACAGGGCACTTCCACATCAACAATTAACCAAGAATATGCCCCTACTGTGTTGTCTACAGGCCACTCTGATGGAAGAAATTCCTCAGTTGACATTCCCACTTCCTAAATGACTCAATCTTTCTGGAAGTTAGTTTCTTCAGCTCATTCAGTTGAGCAGAGAAATATGCCTCTTTGCTGTAGATATTGCTCTGTATAAATAAAATGCTGATTGGCCAGTAGACAGGGAGGAAGTATAGGCAGGACAAGCAGAGAAGAGAATTCTAGGAAGTGGAAGGCTGAGGCAGAGAGACGCTGCCAGCTGTTACCATGAGAAGCAATATGTTGAGATACCGGTAAGTGACGAGCCACATAGCAAATTATAGATTAATAGAAATGGGTAATTTAAGATATATGAACAGCTAGCTAGAAGCCTGCCATAGCCATACAGTTTATAAGTAATATAAGTCTCTGTGTATTTACTTGGATGGGTCTGAGTGGCTGTGGGACTGGTGGGTGAGAGAGATTTGTCCTGACTGTGGGCCAGACAGGACCAGAAAAACTAGCTACAAATGACGCCCAACGGGTTGGCAAGTGTTTCCACCTAAAACCTGAGAAAAAAAGATTCTAAAACAGAGCTAAAAACAGCTTCCTAGTTGTCTCTCTCAAGTTATCGGCAGCCTGCAGGATTGAGCTATTATGGCCGGTTCCTGGCATGTGCTTTTGACCGGCAGTATGGCTGGAATGAGGTATCTACAATGGGCACATTATACTGCGTGGTAGATTTACCCTTTGTTAGTACAAAAAAATAAAAAATAAAAAAGGAGTTTTCTGGGCTACATGCTGCTTTGATAAAAGTATATAACCACTGTTTCTAAGAGTTGATGGCTCCCAGAGCTGGTGCTAAACTGTACCACCGCCATGTTGGGAGGATGAGATGGGCAGAGCCAGCAGCCACAACAGCCATTTCAGTATTAGAAATGCTGCATTTTAAAGCAATAGGTTCAAAATAAGACAGATTCAGATACAATAGTTTACAATGTATGTAAAAACTACATAGGCTTGAATGAGAGAGAAAAAGGAATACATACATCTATATAAAAATTAGTTTTTTTTTTAAAATAAAGTCTTTAAAGAGATAGCAAAGGTAGTATAAAAATAAGCCATATAAAGATGGATTTTACACAGAAAATCTGGATTGTGTTATCTTTGGGATTTTTAACTGCAGAAAAACATTTGATCGTAAAAGCTGATAAGTTAAGACAATATGTATATTTTAAAGATACCTTGATTTCAAAATTTGGATCTAAGGATATGTTGCTTTGGAAAGGAGGCTCTACTTTTCTTTCCATAGAAAGACAGAGGCTATGGATTTTTTCCTGATTAATATATATCAGGTTTGACCAGCCAAGACCCCCTGAAAGGTCTGTGATGATACCATGGCCCAGATGATCCAACATCCAGAACAGTTTCAAGGCAACTGGCTCAGAGAATACAGCCTCATGGACAACTCCATAATCCTAAAATTTTCTTTGTGTCCCCATAAGATACAGCGCTCCCATCCAGCAGGAAGTAGTAAGAGAAGCTACACCCAAATTCCAAAATATACCAAGCTTTGGAGATGGAATCGGTTCACTTCTTCTCTAAACCCAAGCATATTCCTAAAATAAAAGGTTAAGAGATTCTTGTGTCCCATATCAGAAGAGCCCTCTGGTGTGGGACAAAGAAAAACTAATATTTTTATTTAAAACAGGTTGATTATGAATGCAATCTCTTTCTAAAGAAAAAAAAAGTGGATGTAGATATGATAAGATAAATAGTAACAACTTGTTTAAAAATGTTTTACATTGTTATGGATTTTAGTTTATTGATACAAATTTGAAGTTAATTTTGTTATACTGTGTATATATTTTTACTCTTGTTTGATGTATTATGTTTATGTAACTCATTTAGATTATAATGGATAATTACAAAATATAGATTAATCATTAGTCTTCTATGATAGCCAAACTTATATTTATGTTGTTTTCTGTGTATGCATAGATATAATTCAATTAGGAAGGTAATCTTCAAACACTTCAAAGACCTACAGAATATGGCATTTAGAATGTTTTAAAAATTTAGACTTTCTGGACAGTGAGACATATCTGCTCCTGGCAGCACCAATTTACTTCAGAGAGGAGGATGGGCATTGAAGACACTCCATATGGAGTTTATATTCACCTTGGCAAAAATAACCATTTGGGCAAGAAAATATTCTTGCCTGGACCGCTTGATTGACTGGACATGCAGGAGCCATAGAAAGGTGACCACTGAACTTTATTTGGTGAAATGGTCCTTCAGGTTCCTGCTTCACAGAGGAAACTGCCAGACATTCTATAGGACACAGAGAAAAATGACTGGGAGACTCTAGGCCTGTGGGCTGAAGACAGATGCCCCAACTTTACAAAGGAACTTTGGATGACTGTCCAGGCTGACAGCTGTCTCTGTCTACTCTTGTAAAACTCCCAAAAGTTGCTTGTGTCCATCTCCTGTTTCTCAGGTAATATTATATCCTTCTGAGGTCTTTGATGTAGTTGAAGACTAGATAGTTATAATTTTCCTTAATTATGATGAAAGATAAGTTAGATTTGAAACCTTAGACTCACAAATATAGGATATATAGGATATCTTCTTCAATTGTGCCAAATACAAATAGACTAGATATTATAAATAGACTAGATATTATAACTGTAATTATTGCTTGAGAATTGTTTTGTTATATGTAATTTTACTATGTGAAATTTAAAACCTTCCATTTTGAAAAGAAAGAAAAGGGAAAGTGCTGTGGATATTGCTCTGTATAAATAAAATGCTGATTGGCCAGTAGCCAGCAAGGAAGTATAGGTGGGACAAGCAGAGAAGAAAATTCTGGGAAGTGGAAGGCTGAGGCAGAGAAATGCTACAAGCCCCCACCATGAGAAGCAACATGTTAAGGTACGGGTAAGCCACAGGCTATGTGGCAAATTATAGATTAATAGAAATGGGTTAATTTAAGATATAAGAACAGCTAGCTAGAAAGCCTGCTACGGCCATACAGTTTATAAGCAATATAAGTCTCTGTGTATTTACTTGGTTGGGTCTGAGTGGCTGTGGGACTGGTGGGTGACAAAGATTTGTCCTGACTGTGGGCAAGGCAAGACCAGAAAAACTCTAGCTACACCTCTTTGTGAAAGCTGGAACTTTTTGCCAAGGCATCTTTAAATTGGCAACATATTCCAGGTAGGCAAAGCTCTCCAACCTTCTCCTTCAACATTCTTTTATAAATGTGCTCCTTGCTACATGCATTGTATGGATCCATTTGTGAGTCAGAGCATTTCTCATTTCTTGGAACAAAGTATTGACTATCATTTCTCGGGGTACCCTGTAAATAGCATGCCATGGCAATAGGACCAGCTTTCTCCCTGCTGGTCTAGGCATGAACCTCTAAATTAGAATCTTGGTAAAAATTCACATCAGGGCAACCCTGCTCAATCTACCTGTATAGAAATGACTAGTGCAATCACACAAATTTGTGCTTTGCCACTATTGGAAATTATCTCTAAATAAATCCCAGTGTGTTTGTATGATGAAAAACTAGTAATATATCTCGGTTTCTCCCACAGAACATACTTGCCATCCAACATGTGCCAAATTTTGCAGAGCTTGGTGCTGTTTGTCATTGCTGTTTATTTTTGGCTTTATTTTAGGCTTAGAAGTGATGGAATTTCACAATTTTACTGGACCATTTTTCATATAAAGATAGCTATATTTAACTGGGAAATGTGGTATCAAAGCCTTTTAGACATAAATGAAGGAAATGGTAACCCCTTTTAGAGAGTTCCCATCATTAACAGTAACTATTCATCGTTGGAAGCAAATACAACCTAGCATACTACTTCAGTTAAACAAAAAATAATAGGGCCTTCACCTTCAAGAACAGATGATTAAAAGTACATTGTGTTTTATTAGTTCAAGAATCTCTCTAAATTATATATAACACACCACTTAGAATACAAAAAAAACCTGCATAATAAATGAGCAAACATTTGACAATACATATTATCATCAATCCCCTGCTTGCAGATCTGAAATTCAAAATGTGTTGCTGGTCATAAAACATGCTACCTGAGATAATTTGATTAGTAGTTTATTTGAAAAATAAAAAAAAAGACTAAATGAAGTTAGGTATAAGAAAGAAATGAGATATGTTTAGAGGAGACAGGGATGACAATGAAAGGGAGTATATAATATACAGAAAACAAGATACATGTGTATATGTATGAAATTTTTCAAAAATAAAGTTTTATTAAATATCCATGAATAAATTTGTATCCCTAAAAATATATGTACACAGATGATTGGACCAAAAGCAATTGCTTAACTCTAATATCAAGACATTCAGTCACTAAAAATTTCAACACTTTATCCATGGACTTAAACTGTGATTTAAAAAAAAGAAAAGTATTTTAAATATAATGCATGTGTAGCTAGTATCCTTAGTGAGGCATTAATCTCATTCATGAGAGTGCAGCCTTCACTAACTCCTTTTGTTTATAACCTTCCCTTAAGAAACTCCTCTGATGGTGTCACATTAGTGTTCAGGTTTTGACATGTTTTTGGGTGAATATAACATTCAGTCTCTCAGAGAGTAGATGCCCTGGTACTAGAAACTCATGCCTAAATGTCTACTTGTGTTCTTCAACTTTTAACCATAAATTATAGAGGCTTTCCCTGGCAGGCCTCCGAGGGGTACGAAGAGACAATGTTTTACAATCTCTCAGAAATGATTTAATCAGAGACTCAGACTCCTTTAGCTGGTCATAGTCATATGTCTGTGTCACTGGCCCTGAAACCTTTACTTGGAGATTATTCTGTCAGAGATCTTTGATAAAACCCTTCCTGGAGACCTGTTCTTGAGGAGACACTGAGTCCTTAAAGATATTATCCTCTACCCCGAATCAGTACTTAGTGATTCCACCCCAGTATTATCTCCCCGTCCCCATTTAATTTTATAAATACATAGATGTCTTTATGACTCCATTATACTCAACATAAGGAAGCTAAATAATAGGCAAGCATTAAGCCTAGGCTATATGAACTAAAGCTATCATAACAGGGTTGATCACTTACTATGAGCTAAACTCAACTCCTCTGGTATTATTAGGAGACTGGGGTGGCATATTTTTTTTTTACAGTAGTGATTTCTTATATATATTTTATTAGAAACTCAGCTGAAGGCAATTTATTTAGGACCTTTTTCCTGCAAATAGATAATGTTTTGGCTACTAACGTTGGAGTATGAGTAGGGAGATATTTGACATATATAAATAGAATAAAGAAATAATCTGTGGTAAATCTTAAATCCTTAGAGATCACGTTATACATATATGCTAAGTTATTTTAAAGATGACTTTGTATAAGGGGGAATGCAGTATAATTTCACATGCATTGAGTTCCCAAAGATTTACTCTTGGCATTAACAGGTTGCTCTAGGGAAGGAATACAGAGACAAAGTCATAGTAAGTACAAGTGTGGCAGAGCCTTGGAAGTTAACATAGTCTTGAAGTCTGTCGAAATAATAGTAACAGTCAGTACAATAATTCTAACATGCAGACAGTAATCTGTATATAAAGCTAAATATTGCTTTCAAAATCATTTCCTTGCTTCTCATGACACATTGTTTCTCAACAACAACAAATGACAGGTATCACAGCCAAGGGGATTGGGATCTGTCCCTGGTGCATGGGTGCCTGTGTTGTGATGCCTTGCACAGCCTTGGTGCAGTGGGAAGGGGCTTGGACCTGCCTAGGCTCAGTGTGCCAGGCTCTGCTGACTCCCCATGGGAGACCTTGATCTGGGGGATGTGGGGATGTGGGGTGGCTTGGGAGAGAGTGCTGGATCTGTGGTTGGTATGTGGAATGAGTAGAAAATTTCTTAATAAATAAAAATGAAAAAAAGAAAATCACTACCCCAACTCAGGTGCTTAGGTTATTTAAAGAGCTTCCTTGACAGAACAAGGAAGAGAGGATAGATGGGTTCATTCTGCATGAGTAGAGAGGAAGTTCTACTGCATGGGTATTTTATATGTGTTAACTTCTTGTGTATCATTTTACACACTTTAGAACAAGAAGGGATTTATATGAGATCTCCAACTATTTGTGGTTCTACTGAGTATCCCTAGCAACCCATCTTTGATCTCCTTCTTAAAAGTAAAATGCTGAGGTGGCATAATTTAACACTTCCCTAGAGATGTCAGAAAGTCTGGGGGTGAGCTAAGTGAGTCTATGTGACTAAAGCAACCTGAATTCATTCGTTAAAATTTGTCCTGAGGAGAAACACAAAAACAGAAACAAAAAAAAATAAGGTGCAAAATGCTTTTTATCTTCATGACAGAAGGCACTGGTTCAACAGGAAGCCATGATCTGACAAAAGTAGAGACTTATCTCACTTGTCTCTTATTTCTAATATTATCTCTTAGGGTTAAATAAATAGTTTCTGGTGGTGATTTTACATCCCAGAAACAGAAAAGGTCTGATAGTTTTAAGATGCTATACACTAAATGTTTTTGCATTCTTAAAATTCATTCTTTAAAAAAATGAATCCCCAGCGTGATGATGTTAAGAGATGTGGAATGCTGAAGAGTGATTAGATGGTGAGATTTCTTTTCCTTTCTACAATGTGAGATGCAATCAAGAGATATATGCCAGGTCATTGTTATCAAAAGAT